AGGCAAATACTACATAGCCACGATGGCCTTGATCACAGCCTCCACTGCCTTGACCATTATGGTGATGAATATCCACTTCTGCGGGGCCGAGGCCCGGCCAGTGCCACACTGGGCCAGGGTGGTCATCCTGAAATACATGTCCAGGATCTTGTTTGTCTACGACGTGGGTGAGAGCTGCCTCAGCCCCCGCCACGACAGGCAGCGGGACCACCTCACAAAGGTTTATGGCAAACTTCCAGAACCTAATCTGAAAACAACCAGAAACAAAGACCTTCCCAGAAAGAAGGAAATGAACAAACTCTTAAAGAATGACTTGGGATACCAGGGTGAGAATCCGCAGGATGCTGACAGTTACTGTGCACGGTACCAAGTACTGACAAAGAATATTGAATACATTGCCAAGTGCCTCAAAGACCACAGGGCCACCAATTCCAAGGGGAGCGAATGGAAAAAGGTGGCAAAAGTCATAGACCGATTCTTTATGTGGATTTTTTTCATTATGGTGTTTGTGATGACTATTTTGATCATAGCAAGGGCAGATTAGTGAGTATTTGGTAGGTGGGGATAAATCAGTAAAATTCCCTGTGATCTACTCTAATGCTCTTCCAAGTCAGAAATATCTAAATCTATAGACACACACATACACAAATATATATAATTTAGGGGTTATATTGTCTTTTTATTTTTAACTGCAGACCAATATTATAGCTAGCTGTCAGATTAAATTAAGCGGGAGGTCCAAAATTTCAAGGGTAGGAAAATGGAAGAAATGCAGAAAGACCCCTTTTATAGTCCACCAGAGTGGTAGGTGGCTGGCCTCTCGTTCAATTATTCATCCCTTTAGCAGTGCAGGTAACAAAGTACACTACATTCGATTTAAAATTTAAAGCAAAACAAAAGAAACTCATTTTCTCCTTAGTCCATATTAGAACATACTTTTGAAAAAGGAAACTTGCCATATATTCTTTAGTGTGATTTAAGTCTTAATGTTACTTTTCTCAGGCCTGGTGCCTTTCAAGCCATATCTTAAATGATGGAACAACAAATCTTGTCCCATATGAAGAAAGTCTAAGAATCAGCAGCAACTTAATGGGGAAGAGGGTTTTCTTTGTAATGATGATGTTAAATACATTGGTTATATTTTATATAAGCCTTAAACATGAAGTCGTTTCTGCATTTAGTCTTGGATTTAAATGAGATCATCATCATACTGGGCTTATTTATTCATTCATGCAATTACTTACCAAACATTTATGTTTTCCTACATGTAGTAAAGCTGCATGATTCACATTTGCATTAGGTGTCATAGCAACTCTTAGGCACAAGTCTGATGCCTTTTGATATTCACTATAATTCTGTGAGCTAGGTGGGCAGGCATTTCTAGTTATCTTTGTCAGCGGAAGAAACTGTCAGAGAAAGGTGGGTTAAGTGACTACCTCTACATCCAACTACATGATACTTACAGCTGGGCTATAAACCCTTAGCACTGTGACTCTGAATTTGGGCCAGGTCTGCTAAAGCCACACTGCTTTTGGCCATGACAAATCATGATTTAGGATAGTAGTGATTGAGGGATTCTCATTCATAGTTCTGAATTTTGGCCCTAAATTACTTCTTATGCTTCTCAACTTTTCCCCACTACTTTCAATCAAATATGTCTTCAAATTCCCTTAATTCCCACCTTGATTCAAATGATACAAGTACTAATACCCATTCCCTAATTCCCAACTCCTCAACTATTCTTTTATCAATTAAAAACAAACAAATGAACAGACATGTAGACAGACAGCGGTTAACCTAGAAAAAAGAGGATGGCATTTGTTTAAACATATAGACATTGTTTTTTATTCTTACATTTACTTATTCTTAAAAATATTTATTGTGCATCTACTACATACTGTGTGTTATGTCAGCCTTGAAGGGAACAAATAAAAAACATGGCTACAACCTCTGGTTTCTTATATGGTGCTTGTAGTTTAGTAGAGGAGACAGTTAAGAAAATAGACAAATACAACGTGCTGTAAAAGTGCTATCAGAAGTGTGGACAGATGTCATGGGAACAACAACAATTAATCTGTTTGAGTGAAAGTTTGGGAAAGACTTGTAGGGGTGTAACATTTGAGTTGGGCTTTGAAGGATGAGTAGGCGTTTGCTAGACAGAAAAAGAAGTAAGCAGGGATTAGAAGGAATTGGGGAAATATAACTTAAAATCAAATTTTCTTCTTCTTTTAAATTATTTTTTATTGAAGTGTAGTCACTTTACAATGTTAGTTTCTGGTGTACAGCAAAGTGATTCAGTTATACATATACATTTTTTTTCAGATTCTTTTCCATTATAGCTCATTATAAGAAACTGAATACAGTTGCCCCTGTTATACAGGAGGTTCTTGTTTATTTTATATATAGTAATGTATATCTGTTAATTCTAAGCTCCTAATCTAGCCCTCCACTCCTTTTCCCCCCTTGGTAACCACAGTTTGTTTTCTATGTCTGTGAGTCTATTTCTGGTTTGTAAATAGAATTAGATTCCATGTATAAGCGACATAATAGGATATTTGTCTTTCTCTGTCTGACTTATCTCACTCAATGTGATAATCTCTAGGTTCATCCATGTTGCTGCAAATGGCATTATTTCATTCCTTTTTATGGCTGAGTAATATTCCAGTGTGTGTGTGTGTGTGTGTGTGTGTGTGTGTGTGTGTGTGTGTGTGTGTATACCACTTCTTTATCCAGTCATATGTTGATGGACATTTAGGTTGTTTCCATGTCTTGGCTATTGTAAATAGTGCTGCTATGAACATTGGGGATCATGTGTCTTTTCAGATTAGAGTTTTCTCCAGATATGTGCCCAGGAGTAGCATTGCTGGATCATATGGTAAGTATATTTTTAGTTTTTGAAGGAACCTACTTACTGTCCTCCCTAGTGGCTGCACCAATTTACATTGCCACCAACAGTGTAGGAGGGTTCCTTTTTCTCCACATCCTCTCCAGCATTTATTATTTGTAGACTTTTTAATGATGGCCATTCTGATTGGTGTGAGGTGACACCTCATTGTAGTTTTGATTTGCATTCTTTGAAAATTAATGATGTTCAGCAACTTTTCATGTGCTTGTTGGCCATCTGGACGTCTTCCTTGGAGTGATGTCTATTTAGATCTTCTGCCAATTTTTTGATTGGGTGGCTTGTGTTTTTGATATTAAGGTGTATGAGCTGTTTGTATGTTTTCAAAATTAGTCCCTTGTTGGTCACATCATTTGCAAACATTTTCTCTCATTCTGTGGCTTGTCTTTTCGTTTTGTTGATGGTATCCTTAGCTGTGCAAAAGCTTTTAAATTTAATTAGATCCCATCTGTTTATTTTTGCTTTTATTTTCCCATACTACATGAGCTGGTTCAAAAAATATATTGCTGTGATTTATGTCAAAGAGTGTTCTGCCTATGTTTTCCTCTAGGAGTTTTATAGTATCTGGTCTTACATTTAAGTCATTTTGAGTTTATTTTTGTATATGGTGTTAGAAAATGTTCTAATTTCATCCTTTTATAAGTAACTGTCTAGTTTTCCCAGCACCACTTACTAAAGAGACTATGTTTCTCCATTGTGAATTCTTGCCTCCTTTGTCATAGATTAATTGACCATATGTGCATGGGTTTATTTCTGAACTTCCTATCCTGTTCCATTGATCTATGTGTCTGTTTTGTGCCAGTACCATACTGTTTTGATTGCTGTTGCTTTGTAGTATAGCTCTATCCTTCTTTCTCAAGATTGTTTTGGCTATTTGGGGTCTTTTGTGTTTCCATACAAAGTTAAAATTTTTTTTTCCAGTTCTGTGAAAAAATGTCATTGATAATTTGATAGGGATTACATTGAATCTGTATATTGCCTTGGATAGTATGGCCATTTTAATAATATTGAGTCTTCCAATCCAAGCACACAGTATGTCTTTCCATCTGTTTGTGTTGTCTTCAATTTCTTTCATCAGTGTCTTATGGTTTTTGGAGTACAGGTTCTTGGCCTCCTGAGGTACGTTTATTCCTAGGTATTTTATTCTTCTTGATGCAATGGTGAATGAGACTGTTTCCTTAATTTCTTTTTCTGCTATTTCATTTTTAGTTTATAGAAATGCAATTGATTTTTGTATATTAATTTTGTATCTTGCAACTTTACCAAATTTCATTGATGAGCTCTAGTAGTTTTCTGGTAGCATCTTATGATTTTCTATATAGTATCATGTCATCTGCAAGCAGTGACAGTTTTACTTCTTCTTTTCCAATTTGGATTCCTTTTATTTCTTTTTCTTCTCTGACTGCTGTGCCTGGAACTTCTGAAACTATGTTGATAAAAATGGCAAGAGTGGGCATCCTTGTCTTGTTCCTGATCCTAGAGGAAATGCTTTCAGCTTTCCACCACTGAGTATGATGTTAGCTGGGGGTTTGTCATATATGGCCTTTATTATGTTGAGTTATGGTTCCCTTATGCCCACTTTCTAGAGCGTTTTTATGAAATAGATACTGAATTTAATCAAAAAGTTTTTCTACATCTATTGAGATGATCTATATGATTTTTATTCTTCAGTTTGTTAATGTGGTGAATCACGTTGATTGATTTGCAGATATTGAAAAATCCTTTCATCCATTGGATAAATCCTACTTGATCATAGTGTATGATCCTTTTAATGCATTGTTGGAGTCAATTTGTCAGTATATTTTTGAGGATTTTTACATCTATATGCATAAGTGTAATTTTCTTTTTGTGTGATATCTTTGTCTGAATTTGGTATTAGGGTTATGGTGGCCTCATAGGATGAGTTCAGAAGTGTTCCATCCTTTGCAACTTTTTGGAGTAGTTTTAGAAGGATAAGTCTTAACTCTTCTCTAAATGTTTAGTAGAATTTGCCTGTGAAGCCATCTGGTCCTGGACTTTTTACATTACTGATTCCATTTCAGTACTGGTAATTGGTCTATTCATATTTTCTATTTCTTCCTGGTTCTGTCTTGGCAGGTTGTACTTTTCTAGAAATTGTCCATTTCTTCTAGGTTGTCCTTTTGGCTGGGGTATAGTTGCTCATAGTAGCCTCTTATGATCCTTTGTATTTTTTTTTTAAATCTAAGATTTGAATGTAAGCACTGGTTAAAGCATGAGACGGATTTGTGGACCACATGAAACCACTTGTTTTGGGCTTGTATTATTTGTTTTATGAGAGGGAAGTAATTAGGATTCTTCAGTGATTTCCGCTTGGAGGAGGTACTGGGGATTGAACCCCTGATCTCTTGGGCTTTACCACTTGAGCTATACCCTACCCCCAACCCTTTGTATTTTTGTGGTGGTGTTTGTAACTTCTTTTTCATTTCTGATTTTATTAATTTGAGCCATCTCTCTCTTCTTCTTGATGAACCTGGTTAATGGTTTATTAATTTTGCTTATCTTTTCAAAGAACCAGCTTTTAGTTTCATTGATCTTTCCTACTTTTTTTTTTTTTTAGTCTCTCTTTGATTTATTTCTGCTCTGAGCTTTATGACTTTTTTCCCTTCTACTAACTTTGGGTTTTGTTTATTCTTCTTTCTCTAATTGCTTTAGGTGTGAGGTTAGGTTG